CTTTCTGTCTCCCTTTCACTCTCTAAAAACCAGTGGAAAAATATCCTCGGGTGAGGATTTAAAATCTAGATATATAAAAGGCTAACATGCAAAGTGTCCTTGCGGGAGTTCAACTGGGAGACCAGGAGTTCTAGCGCTCGCTATGACATGTGCTGACCACTAGGGGGCGGCAGGGAATGAAGGAAAGCACCAGCCAGCAGCCAGGGAAGGAAGGCCCCTGAGGCCCCAGCCGGCAGCCAGAAGGCCCAGATTGGCCCTGATCTCCGGCCAGGCCTAGGGACCCTATCTGTGCACAAATATTGTGCTCCGTACCTCTAGTGTGTGTATATATATATTTTTTTGAAAAAAAATAAAAATAAAAGAGTGTATCAATGTAACTAAAGGGCTGTTGTGATGACTAAATACACAGAGAGCTTGACCCAGTGTCTGGCCCACAACAACTGATCCGATTTCAGCTATTATAAATATTGCTGCTCTAACTACTACCAGCATGCTCTTCTTTTTTTGTTTTTAAATTAAATGTTCCTATTGATTTTTTAGAGAGAGAGGAAGGGAGAGAGGTAGAAACATCAATGAGAGAGAAATACTGATCAGCTGCCTCCTGCAGGATCCCCCCCATTTCCTGCCCACACATGCCTTAACCGGGAAATGAACCAGTGACTTCTGGGTTGCTGGGTCGAAGCTCCACAGATGAGCTCCACAGATGGGGCCACCATGCTCTTCTTAACATCCAAGGAACTCATGACAGAGCGAGCCAGCACCTGGGGCCCTGATGACTAAGCCTCTTCTAAAGCCAAGGCTTCGGCTACCCGACTCCAGTGCAGGAAATGGGGCAATCAAATAAAACCGCAAAACCCGCAAAACCCACAGGGGGCCCTTCCCCCTCCCCTCAAGCCAGAAGATAGCCCAGCCAGGAGGTTCTCTCCATTCCCTCGGAAAGCCCTGGCTCTGGGCAGGAAAGGTGCCGGCAGAGAAAGGCCGCGGCTCCGAGGAGCCTCTCCAAATAATACCATTGATTTTATCGCCAACAGTAACGCCACCCAACCTCTGGGATCTCAGAGGCCAGAGGAACTTCGGCCCCTGCGACCTTCAGACCTGGCCTGTGGCTGGGCCCACAGGTGGGTGAGGCTGGGGCAGGGCATGGGAGGGAGGCCACCCCGATCATGAAACGATGCCATTTCAGGAGGAAGAGGTGGCCCGGCCCCGGTGGGCAGCCCCAAGCTCCAGTTCTTCAATGATTATCTCCAGAACCGGTGACCTGTTCCCTCCGAGGCAGCCGGGTGATGAGCAGGGGGTGGCGGCCGGACTAGCCACAAGGGGGGGCGGGCTGGGGGATTAAGGGTCTTGGCGCCTGGAGCGCTCCATGCCGGACCTATCCGTTCTCATACAGTGGCTGCAGGTAGGGAGGAGTGTGATTCTGACCCCTGGGAACACGTCTACTAGACTCATTTTTGGTTGTCCCAGCTGGGGAGGGGGATGCTCCTACCCGCTAGTGCAGTGGTTCTCAACCTTCCTAACGCCGCGACCCTTCAATACAGTTCCTCATGCTGTGGTGACCCCCAATTTCATTGGTACAAATTGAACATCATTAAAGCATAGCAATTAATCACAAAAACAATATGTAATTACATATGTGTTTTCCGATGGTCTTAGGCGACCCCTGTGAAAGGGTCGTTGGACCCCCAAAGGGGTCGCGACCCACAGGTTGAGAACCGCTGATCTAGTGGGTGGAAGCCAGAGATGCTACTAAACACCCCGATAGGGGCAGAAATAGGACACTGGGGACCAGCTATAATTGTAAGAAACCTTAATCACGCTCTGTTAACTGCGACTGTTTTGTTCTGATTAAAAAGGCACATTCTAGTCTGGCTGGGACCTGGGAGCTCACCTGGAAATGCAGCCCATCCTCCCCATCAGGGAGCTGCCCATTAGGGTGGACAGATGAACAACCTTGTTGCAGAAACCAGAGCCACCAGCCCTCCGAAGACCCCCAGCCCTTGCATACCTGCGGGCCATTGCAAATCTCCAACCCCCATTACCTATAAACTGCCCATTTGGCATACCCTTCCCCCTGGGACAAAGATTTTTGTCTTTCTACCCAAGATAAGCAGCTGGCTCATGGTGGGGGGCAGAGCAGGTATTTGTGGGTGACCCGCTGCTCTCCCACGCTGCCGGCAGGACTGGAATAAACCCTCATGATGATTCAACCCTGTCTCTGCTGAATCGGCTCAAGCAGTGACAGGCAGCGCGGGCCCACTGATGGGCCGGTTGTAATCCTGCAGCGCACCGGACAGCCGCACGGCAAGAAAATTACCTGGTCTACAATGTCCGCCGTGTCGAGGTTGAGAAATTCTGCCCTTGAGGCAAGGTGCCGTGTCTACAATTTACAGATTATCGGCGATGGAGCCAAGAAAGGTACGTTCACCAGCCCCAGGTCCCACAGCAGGATGGTAGCGGAGCCCAGGGCTGTTCAACGCCCTGCTCACACTCTCTCCGGGCGGCTGGGCCAGGTTCAGAAAGGAGGCTACGGCATGGAATGAAAGCGCAGACCCATGCCAACAGCGGCCCCCACACCCACTCCTTCCAGGGCGGTGGGGTGGGTATGGCCTGGGAACAGGAGTGGGGGCCGTGGAAGTTTCTGGTGGGTTCAAACCCCCGGCCGTCACGGCATTAAATCTGCCCCATTCTTGCGGATGAATGACTCAAACCGCAGTTCAACCCATCGCCTCTCTTCATCCGGGGAACCCAAGGGCTGGACAGAAGGGAGGGGAGGCCACCTTGAATCACGATACGAGTGACTAAACCCACACCACATACAGAAAAACAAGCTCCCGGTGACAGCCCTCCCCATGTGACTTCAGCATGGTTCCAATCAGAGTGACAGGGACGCCACGGGGCGGGGAGGCAGGCATCTAACTGTTAGGGAAAGCCAGCCGACCAGTCACATGGTCCCTCCCCCTAGGAAGTGGGCACCCTCACCCCACCAAGCCGACAGGGGAGGAAACTGAGGCTCTGAGAGGCCACACAGCGAGCCAGTTGTGAGGCCAAGATTGGAACCCCAATCCACATTCGAACATTTAGAGGCTTGTCCTGAGAGGCCCCTAAAAAGTGGCTGAAAGCTTAGAAAGACGCCTCTCAAAGCTGCCGAAGCTTCAAAAAAACCTGGCAGGAAGGGATCTGACTAAGCAGAGACGGAAAGCTCGGGGTGGTCACAGGAGATGGCAGACTTCCCGGCGTTTTAGGGGAGCTGTGCGGGTGTGGGGCCTGGGAAGTGGTGTCCGCTGGTGGAATATCACTTTTGGGGCCCGACAGACTGGGATTTAGATACCTGCTCTGCCCCGGCTGTGAGCTCAGGCGCAGGACCTCACCTTCCTGAGCCTTAGTTTCTCCATCTGTAAAAGGGGCTCAAGGACCCATCTGACAGGCACGGGACGGGAAAGCACGGGAGAGAGCGCGCGGCCGCTGGTGCCAGCTCTTGGTGGCTGTTTCTTTTCCGGTTTCGCCAGCTCACAGGTCTGGTGGGAGGCAGCACGGTGCGTGTCAGACGTCCGCCTGTTGCCATGTGGGTGAAACCGTTGCCTAACCCAGAGAGGCAAGGCGGGTTATACACCTAACAGGCTCCAACAAGAAACCCAGGATCTGGCAGCATGTGGAACAGTTCACACACACAAAGGGGGAGGGGGAAACAGACAGTTTAGCCCAGTCCTGGAGCCTAGGGAAACTTTACTCTATTTAAAGATGCCACAGGTCCAGGAAATAGCTTCCCACCGCCGGGAGAAGGGCTGAATAACCAGCTGCCCAGCCAATAACAATACAGACGCACACAGCACACCCCTTCTCGCAGTGCACCCCGCTATCGCCTCTCAGAATTTCACAGGCGAGCGCGGAGGGCACGCGGGTCTGCCTGGCAGGAATGAGCCTCTGAAGAAAACGGATCCAAAGACGACTTGACTCTCCGGGAGGCCAAGGAGCCGAATTTGGCAGCCAACGCCCTTTGCTATTCATTGTTCCACTTCTCTTTGTTAGGGTTTTTTCCTCCCTCTCGCTCTTTTTTCCTTCCTGGTGAACTCTGCAGCTAGCACAGCTACGGCCCCCTTCTCACCACCAGACACCACAGCCCCCTTCTCTCCAGTAGGGAGGCCTCCCCAAAGCTGGCGGGGGGGCCTCCCACAGCCCCATTATCCCTCTACCCAAACCTCTGAGGTGGGCCCAGGGCCCCTTGGACCCCCCCAGATTCAGCTCCTAGGCTGCTGTGAAAGCCATTTCCCACCTGCGGGTCCCTGTCCGCCCCAGGGACGCCTTCCAGCGGCGGGGAAGGCCTGAATTCAGCTCCACCTTCTAGAACCCGCAGCCTCTTGGAACCTCAGCCTTCCCATCTGCAGGATGGACCCACTGGCCCATTTCCCCAGTTCCTCACCAGCCCTAAGCAAGAGTCGCATTGCGCAGAGGGAGACACCAGGAGAAACTTTCCCACATTCTAAAACAGAAGTTATTGGGGGGAGGGGGGTGCTGCTTTCTTTTTTCACCTTTTTAGGGTGCAGGCGCTCCAAGCACCCATTCTCAGAGAGACCTCCTGCACCGCTCAGGCCGGCTCCCCTGAAAGGGCGCGGCCGAACCCGGCGATCCCGGGGGGCTACCTGTGGCTGGTCCCTGCGGTCCGAGGGCCAGAGGGCCCGGAGGGGCCCGAGGGCAGGCGCTCCTCTCCCTCTGTCCCTACGTCGCCTGGGGCCGGGCCCGACTTCCACGGATGCGCAGGACACGAGTGGAGGGGGCCGGGGAGATGGACAGGGTGAGAGAAGCGGCCCGGGGGCGAGGAGGGAGGATGGGGCGCCGGACGAGAACCCGGCACAGGGGAGGGGGGAGGGGAGAGGGAGGCGCCGGAGACCCGGCGGCGCGGCGAGGTGGGGAGAGCGCGGGGGCAGAAGTTCCGGGGCCGGGGGCTCCCGGTCGCCCGGGGGCGCGGGCGCGGGCGCGGGGGGCGTCGGGCCGCGCGCACTCACATAATGCTTGTTGGGCACCCGCCGCTTCTGCACGTCCAGCACCTTCACCTCCACGATGCTGCGCCGCGGCGGCATGGCTGCGGCTCGCGGGGCCGAGCGCGCGCGGGGCGCGGGGGGCGGGGGCTGCGGGGGGCGCGCCGCCGCGGGTCGGGAGCCGGGGGCCGAGTGCGAGCGGGAGCCCGGGCCGAGCACGAGTCCCCGCCGCCGCCGCCCTGAGCTCAGCGCGCCCGCCGGCCCGGCCCGCCCCCCGCCCCCGGCCCGCCCCCCGCGCCGCCGGCCCGCCCCGCTTAAAGGGCCCGGCCCCGCCGCGGCCCGGCGGGCCCACGTCCGGCCTCCGCCGGGCCTTTGTCCGCGCGCCCAGCCGCCGCGACGGGGAGGGGCCGGCGCGCACCCCCCGCGCGTTCGCCGGTGGACTCCTGGGCGCGCGGCGCTCCCCTGGCTCCGGGAGCCGCGGCCCGGCGCCTGATGGAAGGGGACTTCCCGGGTCCAGTTCCGGCTCGGTCACCTGGGGCCGGTCGCCGAACCTCTCTGGGTTCCGTTCCCCATCTGTGAAACGGGCCTGGCGGGACTGCCCGCCAACCAGGGCTGCTCTGGCCAGAAAGCGCACGCGAAGCCCGTGGCCATGCGTACGGGTTGACATTTGTAAACCCAGCCCACGCCCTCGGGACTCGGGGGGCAGCGGGGTGGGGGTGGGGGGCTTCTGGGCTTACAGGCAGAGAGCGGGGAGACAGGGAGAGAAAAACCGCAGCAAAGGCAAGAACAAAATATCTGCAACAATAGTGCGAGGCAGGGTAAGGGGTGTGTGTGTGTGTGTGTGTGTGTGTGTGTGTGTGTGTGTGAATGAATGGGGGCCAGTGGGTGCTTGTTACAACGCAAAGCCATCAGCCTCAAACGTGGAGCTTCCTCCCGGCCAGGTGCAGTGTCTCCCTCTTTTCAGGAATGCTCTTTGAATCCTCAGGGCAACTCCTGGAGGGAAAGGTTGCTGACCGACCCAATTTACAGAGCAGGGGCCTCCAGGCTGTGAGAGGGGTCTCAGGACTCCCCCAGCGGTGGAGGCGTGTTTCACAGGCAGCAGTTCGGGGTGCTGGGCTGCTCCCCACTCCATCCTGTGCCTTCTAGTCCTGATGAGTCCGTTTCAGGCGAGGGTAGCTGAACCAAGGGCCGAATGAAGGTACGGTCACCAGGCGGACAGGAGGGTTGGGGCTCTGGCCGAGGCTCACACACTGGTAAGCAGGGCTCTTTCCAACAAGTCACATAGCTCCCCTCCCTGCCTGAAAGGTGGGGGGGGGGGCTCCCTCTAACCCGGGTTCCAAGGTCAGCCTTTGGACGAGGGTGGGGTCATCCAGGAGAGGACGCTGCTCCGCAGCCCTGGCCAGACCGAGGCGTAGTTTGGTTTGATTGTCTTTGGATGAGTTCCTCCATTTGCCCCTCGGACTGACGTCTCTGCCAGGTCTAACTGTTGGCGGGGGCAGTGGGAGTGGCACCAGGTGTTAGACAGGTGGGGTCAGACTGGACCTGGGTTCAGCGGCCTCGGTACTTGAGTTCTGGCTAGGAAAGAATCCAGAGCCCAGATTCAAACTATAAGAGAACATTTACTTGGAAAATCACAGAGGTAGAAGGAGTAATTTGTAGAAGCAAATGGGCTTAGGAAACAAATTATAGAGGCAGAGGAAGGGCCCTTGGAGCTTAGAAGTGAGGAAGGTCAAGGTGATGGGCCTGGGGGGAGGCAGAGGAGGAGGGGAAAGGTGAGCCCTGCTCCCAGGAAGGAGCGCTCGCCGCAGAGCAGCTGGGCCCGAGGGCAGCCATGGCATTGCGTGTCTGGTTTTGCAGCTTTTCCGGGCCTGGAGCTGAACTACAACTGGAGCCTAGATGTTACCTTCGGGAGGAAAGGTCAGGGGGCCCAATGTTTGACCAGCGATCTGCTAGGGGAGGAAGAGTCACCCTGGGGGCGAGGTCCCCCCTACAACTGTGCTTTGCTGGGCACCCAGGGCTTTCCACCTTCTTACCTGGCCCATGGCCCTTGCTCTGCTCCTGTCTGTCTTCGCACCTACCCCATCACCACCCTGTTCTGATTCGAGGCTGGCCTGTGTGGGTTTCGTTGACAGGCTCCCTGTCCTCTGGCTGCCCGCTGGGTTTGGCCCATGGCAGGGGAGAGGTCTGGGTATTCGTTTCCCCAGCTCCCTTCCTGCGGGGGCATCCTTACCAACGGCACTTCCCCACGCTGGCTCCCTCAGGGTTCCCTCACCCACTTTCCCCGCTGAGGGTGCGAACAGCCCTGCTCCATCATCCCTTTGGGTCCCCCAGCCCTGCCTGCACCTGTGTAACAGCCTCTTAGTGAAGTTTCCTTGCTGACCAGTGGGCGCATGGTATCTGAGCATCGCCAGGACCCTCACGGAGTGACTTCCTGCACCGCACATTCTCCTGACTCACGTCTGTAAGTCAAAGGATTGGAAATGTCAAGGGTGACAAAGGCCTGGCTTTGCTGTGCCTTTTACCTCACCCTCTGCATGAGCCCAGCCTTCCTAATAAGGCAGGACCGCAGCAGGCAGACACTAGAGGAAATCTGTGAATCAGCCGGCTTCCTTGGCTTTCCCAGAAAGGCAAGGCACGGAGACCTGCCCCCCGGGGGCACCCGGCAGCACAGCCGGTCCTGTGCCCCCAGGTGCTCACCTCCTCCCTGCAGCAGGCCTGGCCTTCGAAGCCAAAAGCCAAACTGCCCTCCCCGCCGGCCGTAGGTGAAGATGCAACCGCTACAGGTTTCCAGACCCTCCCTTTGTCTTTCTTTTTAAATTGCAATAAAATATACATGACTTAAACGTTACTGTTTTAGCCCCTGTTTCAGTGTACAGTTCAGTGGCATCAAGTACATTCACATCGTTGTGCAACCGTCACCACCGTCCCTCTCTGGAGCTTTTTTGATCTTCTCAAATGGAAACTCTGTACCCGGTAAACATTAACCCCCTTCCCACCCTTCCTGCCCCTGGCAACTGCCGCCTGCCAAGTGTGTGACCTCGGCCACGTCACTGACCTCTCTGTACCTCCACCTCCCCATCGGTAAGATGGATAAGAATTACCCCGACCTCTTAGGCTTGTTCTGAGGTCTGAATGAGATAATACAGGTAAAGCACATGCATTTTATTTTTCCTTATTATTATGGGTTTTTAAAAAAATCCTCACCCAAGGATATGTCTATTGATTTTAAAGAGAGAAGAGGAGAGAGATAGAAAGAGAGAATGAAGAGAGAAACATTGATCGTCTGCCTCCAGCATGTGCCCTGACCGGGGATTGAACCCCCAACCTCCCTACGTGCCCTGATGGGGAATCGAACCTGCAACCTTCTGGTGATGGGACGACGCTCCAGTCAACTGAGCCACCCAGCCAGGGCACATTTTTGTTATTCTGCTATTAGTCGATCTAACGTTTTCTTTAACTGCATTCAAATCCCAAACCTAATTTCACCCTAATTCTGCCTTAAAGCACATCCACTCTTTCTGAGTCCTGGCCATTGTAGCCCTTGCTGGTGTGTGCCGCCTCATCTCCCTTCAGTTGCCTCCACTTTCCTCCCGTACCAACAATAGAAACGACCTGTGATCTCCAGAGAAAAATACCTTCTGTATTTTCCCTACCTACATGCCTTGCCATAAGCTAGTCATTTCCCTGCTCTGCCTGCCGGTGACCTCCTATTCAGCCTTCAAAGCCCAGCGTGGATGTCACTTCCTCCAGGAAGCCCTCATCCCAGGTATGCTTCTTCCCTGGCTATCACCGTGCCTCATCGCAGCCATTATTGCCTTGTCATTGAGCTGGCTCCTCTGCCGGACTCTGAGCTCCCAAGGAGCATGAATGGGTCTTCTTTGTCTCAAATCCCCTGGCGTGTGGCACAGACTAGTGTGGAGAGGCCCCAGGGAAAGGCGTGTGAGATGAATGAACCCATCTCCATCTGCGTCTCCATTTCTCGGACCTAAGTCCTCGCTGGTGGGCTTGTGCTTGTCCCTACCTCTTCCCCAGGGATCTCGTCACACCAAGCGTCGCTGTGTCCAAAATGCTTCTGGGAACGTGGCGTTCTCCGCGATTGGGGCGAGGAGAAGACAGAGCAGAGAAGGAGGCACATCTCTGCCTTCGATGATTTATTCTGAAACCCTGTTCTAGAGGTGCATTGTGCAAGCCGGAGAGCGGCAGGCCCTAGGGCAGTGATGGCGAACCTTTTGAGCTCGGCGTGTCAGCATTTTGAAAAACCCTAACTTCACTCTGGTGCCGTGTCACATATAGACATTTTTTGACCTTTGCAACCATAGTAAAACAAAGACTTCTATTTTTGATATTTACTTTATATATTTAAATGCCATTTAACAAAGAAAAATCAACCAAAAAAATGAGTTCGCGTGTCACCTCTGACACGCGTGTCATAGGTTTGCCATCACTGTCCTAGGAAATCAATACCGGAGTTGACAAAGGGAGGAGGGCTGCATGTCCGCGGGGCACTGCACCCATCAACCTGAGTTAGGTCCTGGTCTTTTTGTGATTTCTGGTGTCTGCCCGGCTGGCCGGCTGCACTGCTCCCAAATCCCAGGTTCCCAGGATGGTGGCCAAGCCCAGCAAGCTGAGGCCTATCCTTCCCTGCCGCTCCCCACCCGCTGCCTCTAGAAGGAACCAGGCTGCCTTCCAGGACGAAGGCAGGGGACTTGGAACGAGACGCGTTCCCTCCAAGACTGCTGTCTGGTCGGCTGGCTTGGCAAGATGCTCGTAATTAGCACGGCCGAACCTGGAAACGCTTAGTGGCAGGGCACACCAGGGCCTGTGAAATAGATCATGGCTGTAAGCGAGCGGGCCTTCAAGCGAGGTTCCAGGTGCCCGGGCTGCAGGACAGAGCTCGGGGGCGGGGAGGAGGGTGAGAGAAGTGGCATCTCAGAGGAGAGCACGCCCTTCTTCCTTCTAGCTCCTCCCTTTCCCTGGCTGCCCACAGCATCTTCCTCCTAAAAGGAAGCTCTGTTTGCTCTAGCCGGCTTGTCTCAATGGATAGAGCGTCGGCCTGTGGGCCAAAGGGTTCCGGGTTCGATTCCGGTCAAGGGCATGGACCTTGGTTGCAGGCTACTCCCTGGTCCGGGTCCTGGTCGGGGCTCGTGCAGG